GATCCGTCGATCCGTTGCCTGGGGACAACTTCTTCTCGCGGCTTCCGTTCCGCTTTGAAAATTCCTCGCGTTCCGACTAATTATATCATATCTGTACAATGACTCCTATCGAATTTAACATTTGTATAAAATAATGCACATAATTTAGGACAATTATGTAGATCGTAATTATCGAACTTAAAGAATGAATAATCTTTGTACTGAATTATATCATTTAAAAAATGAAAATCTGTCGGTCTGACTATGATATGTACATACTACTTCACGAACTGAACTGCGATCCTGTTTGGAACTGGGAAACGCGAGGATGAGATCGAACTCGATTGGACCGCGATTATAAAATGATCTGCGGTGGTTAGGAGCGATGCCGCGGCGCGACCTTGATAATAATTCCAAGGAATAAGAGGAATGCTTGGCCTGGAACGGTGAGACCTTCGAAGTGCACGAGTCACTGTAGGTCTTCTCTCCCTCGTCTTTCACTTCCCTCCTCCACCTCCTCCCATCATACGTGCACTTGTCCTTTTTCCAACGAGTCGGCGACGATTCTTCGAATTCGAGAGAAACTGGTCCGGCAACAATTTGTTATCCGGCCATCGATGTCTCGCATCGATCACTAATAACTCGTTCATCTTTTTCTCTGTCCATAGCCCACTTTTTCTCGATCGAAAGAAAATCGGATTCTATGATATAGGGTTGAAGAGGAAGTCCATCGTACGTGCCTCGACGCTTTCAGGAAACTGGTTGCTGCTCGTGTTTTTTAATTAAGGAATCGTTGATGCGAGCCAAGAATGCGGATTTAATTCGCGGAGACATGGCTCGCTTTTGCATGGAACAAGGCTCGCTTCGTTTTTCGACTCGCCACGACATTCACTCATTTGCATTATACACTACCGGCCATAAATATTATAATACAATATTTTATGTTCCACGCACATCGATAATCAACCGTTAAAAGAAATTCTCTATGAATCAGTACATGAATTGTCGTATCATTGTATGAAACTCTTCTTTCCTGAGTGACCATCTGTGTTCGATTAATTAATTTCGCTGTCGAGGTTTCACGTGCACAAGTCGAATGACACAATTTATAGCAAAGTAAATTCTTGGGAGCCGCGGGGCGATACCGATTGCTCGTTTTTCTCGCTGTCGACTCGCGCCTGCTCTCGTCTTTGGACTGTCCCGACGTACTGTCTCTTATATTATCTCGTTTATCGCCCATCAAATCGTCTTTCATCCCACGGCTGACAAAAAATCTGATCCGGCTTTCGAGATTGCTGCTACGTACTACCGCAGCGTGCAACTTTGTGTAAATCTCGCCGCATAAGCCTGTCAATTATCGTACCTTCGGTACCTGATCGACTATATTAGCAGCCGCCATCGTTTACGCACCAGCGACGATTTCGAAATTGCCATCATCACAATTCTAATTGCTCGCGAAACATGAACCTCGTGATTCCATATATAAACCTTTAGTATAATTTCTAATTATCCATGGAAATATTGTTCGAACATTTTGCTCCTCTGGCATGGAATATTAAATGATTTAAATCGAAAACATTGCCTTCTTTCAATACAGCTGCATACTACGAACTTTCTTATTAATATTTAACATTAAATCTACCAAGAGAGATCAAAATTACTTGTTTGGCATTTCTTATAATAATTGTTCATTTTCAGTACACTTTATTTTCTAAAATTTTGTATCACTTTTTCTAAACTATGCAAATAACTAATTCTGTAAAAATTGTTATGTCTTTTCTTATGACTTATTAATTTAAAAAACTAGTCATTTTTACCCCTTCAACAGAAATAGGTATACGTCAATCGCTGATAGTTCTATTGTTAATCTACTGAATTTGTCTAAAGTTTGTCAGAAAGTTCACGAATAAAAAAAGCGGAGTTCTCCCGGTGGAACGCGAGAGATCATGCACCCGAGTCTTCTCGATAATCTATCGGGCATCGGTTGGGAGCGCGAGGTTCAAGCGCGTCGGCTATCGACTCGAAGCGTCAGAATTTTACGCGACGGGCATCGATGTATCGCGCGGAAGGTCGTTTATCATCGGCGATGCATCGCGCTTCCACCTATCCGAGGAAACCGTTAGCTTTTTACGCTTTTAATTGCCTCCGCGCGAACGATCCTCCGGTTGAACGCTGCGAGGAGCACCTTACGCGTGTTTCAATCTCACGTTTCTTTGCAGACAATGCGAGGTAACCCGAATCAATTAGAGTCGAAAGTATTTGCACGCGTCCCGGAGGGTTTTACCAAATTATCCTTTAACCCCTCCGGGCGGACGTACGTACGTACGTACGTATGCATTACCGAGCACGACGAGTGCACCTCGTAAATCACTCGTCGTTCTACACGACAGAACGGAGGAACAATGACCGGTTGCTCGGCTCCGTATAACTACTTACACCCCCGTTTGTGAGTCTTCAAATGTATTGTAAAACGTGTAACAGAATAAGACGTTATAACGAACAAATGAAAATTTCTGATATTTTAATGTGAATCTTTTGCATCAAATTTCAATTTCAATGTACAATTTGTTGCATTGGTCGCAATTATATTTTTCACATCTCTGACAGAATATTCATTTTATGAGTACTCGGACACGCGGACGTGTGAAGGCAGGTGGAAAGAAGGACGTTGTTACTGAACAAATTTTTTCCTCGACGCGTTCGTACTCTTCGTACAAGGCAAATATATTACACTAATACGTGTCCGCGACGGCTATCTTGGAGATTGCATTACGAATGTAAACGGGCGAGTTTTAATTTGCGATCTTGTTATTATTCCACGTTCAAGCTGAATTACATTGTAAGATCGCGGATGAGACGGAGTTTACGATCGGTGGAATGTAAAGTAGCTCGGGTATCGGCGCCGGATCCATTTAGTACGGTAGGTGGTCGGACATATGTAACGAGCGCGTAAACTGTGGAGTCCGCTGCTCTCGGTGGAACCGTGACGCGGGGCGACGCAACGGTGAGAGCTGATATGAACCGAGCGCGCGTCGGAGTGCCGGGGACACCCACGTGTGACAAGCCATCGCGTAATCTACCGGACATTTAGCGTAGACCGCGTACTAGCCGCGGTTTGCACAGGTGCTTCAAGCAGGTGAAATTTCATATAGCGAATCACGCGATTAATCGCGCGCGCCGCCTAAAGTTTCAATCGTCGGCAAAAGCTGAGATGATAAATGCGGAAACGATCGAATAATTTATTACTCTCCTAGTCCATAGAACAGAAGTTTTACAGCAATTGATGTAATTTATTAAATAAATGTAGTCTTATGATAATTAAAAGAAAAACGCCCTGGAATGTGAAGAACCGATTGGCGCAAGCCCATATTTTATAAAAAAATTTGAGAAAAATCAGATAATTGCTCCTTAATGACAATTCCTATTGACTCTCTCTGTATGAATTACAGTTATGGAATTTATGTGTCATCAATTATGGAATGAGATGAACATGAATTTGCAAAATAAACGAAAGCATTAGAAGTCAGTGAAAGACAGACGATATTACCTATGATACCTGTACCCACGGCATTTTTATCTCATCAGCCGTAATAAAATTTGAAACGCGATGCGAATTTCTGAAGTAAGTACGACGGGACGGTCCCATCATTATTAGACAAACGATGTTGCTCGTTAAGTATTCACGACAAAACCACATTTACAGGCATTAGCCGCGCGAAGGTACAAGTACCCGGGTGGCTGCGTGACTTACAAGCCTCCAGTCTATATTTCAACCGGCGTTAAAGTCGAGGTCGATTCCCGAAGCGGACGCGCCGTTCGAACCTCCGATCATTACGCCCGTTACACGCTGTCACATACCTCATCTCGTGCACGCAGCCACGGGATTTTTCTCTCCTGAAAACGTCCTAACTTACGCGCATTTTTCAAATTACCCACGGAGATCATATTCCTCCTTATAATTATTCCCATATACGTAATCGACAAGAATTACCAGGTAAAAGAAACTGATAGTTATTGATCCTGTTAAAATACGAATAGTAATTTGCATTCGTCAAAATGCCAAGAATTCATTCGTATATCTGAAAAACCAGACTGCAGATTTTATGTATTTACAGAAAAACAGAAGTGCAGAAAATACGACGAATTTAATATGCAAAAACGAGCAAAATATATTTTTTAAATGATAAGAGAAGTCTCAATTTATATGATTATTCTTTATAAAAATCTACGCACTCATGACCAGACCAGATTGACAGAATCCTAACCGACCTAGAATCGAACGTATGGTGCAAGCTCGACGACCGAAATGAAAGTGGATGATCGACAGGTGATCGAGGATAGGTGACGACTTTTGTCTGGGCGAGTCGAAAGGTTAAGACGATGTTCTCGTACAGCTACGCGAGGAGCATGAGCGTTGCGTCACGAGCTGTGAGAGATAGGACTTTCACTGTGCACGAGCGATCGCGTGCTTCGCCGAGGCGCTTCACGAGTCGAAAGAGACGTTTCTCGTTATTGCCTCGGGATCGTTAAGGTCAATTAACGCGGTCGATTTCTCGGTCAACATCGTTCGTCAAAGAGTGCACCGCGAGTAAAAAAAACGTGCTACCAATGAGCTTAATTAGAATTAACTGCGATTAATTAAACACGTCGTTATGAAAGATATTCCTTTCCATCCCCGAGTCGTTCTTATATATTATTTTGTTCTCTCGACTGGTTAAACTCCTATCTATTTCAAATGAAACTTGTTACAAATTGTATGGAACTACTTTGGCTCCCTGCGCGGATTTGCATCAAAAGCGAAAGACAAGTACGAAATAAAAACTGCTACATCGTTGTAATTAATTAATCGATAACCGCGTATTCCGTGCGGAGAACTTGTTAACTCGAATATCGATCTCTCTTTGCCAAAGTCAGGTACGAGCTCGCTCGGATGTCACGTTAGGCGGCTTAATCGCCGGTATAATTCGATCGATTACAAGCCCACATCGCGTCTCTATTTCATGTAACTATTAATAACTCACCGGTAGAAGAAGCAACGATGCCGGGGAGTGCCTGGCCGCGGCTTGTCTAAGACTAAGGAAATGCAGTAGGGGGTCCTCCGTTGCTCTCAGCTCGTCCAGAATCCGCCGCGCCTCGCTGTAGCTCTCCAGGTATTCCCAGTAAGCGTTCCAAAACGAGCCGGGGAATAAGTCACCTAGGACACGAGAATCAGAACCCATTGCTATCTCACTATTCATCACGTAAAATTAGTATTTTTCATAATTTTTTAAATAAAAAGACTTGATTCGACATTTTTATTATTAAGTCTACAAATAAATTCAGAAAGAAAGCTCCCCGTTTGTACACCTAATAATTAGTCTGATCTTAAAACTATGCTGTATTGTAATGGTACCCTTGTTGGTCTATTTACTCGTGACTACACGCACGGTGTCGTTAACACGGAGGATAATTAATTGAACGACACGAATGCGAAATTGATGAACGCTGATGGAACGGCAGCGTCCAAAATCGTGTTCGAAGGGAATTCGACGATGCATCATTCGCTATCTTCCCTAAGAAACTCGTTTCTGATCATTTTCTCTCTTAGCCATCCGGTGGGGTCCTCGACATCACGGAAGAAAACCTACCGCCGGGAAATGATTTAGCATCGAAACCCACGGTTTTTTTCTTCTGTCCCTTCGCTGTCCCTGTATATGCCCAGTGAACTTCCTCGTGCAGTAAACCACGAATTCATTACGGATTACATCGGACGTATCGCCGGTTTCTAATTCTCGATCGACGTCCAGCAATTACGATCCAAAAGCTAACGCTGCTCGCGACAACTATACGACGCCGTTAAATCCACTCGGGCTCGGCAAAAGCAGATTTACGGGCGACGAATAAATTACGGGAGATCGCTGATTTTGATAGCGTCTGCTATCAAAGCTTCCAGTAAATTATCTCGTTTAACCAGCGTTTAATTAATTATCACTTCCATCTACGTGCGTATCGTTGAATGTAGACCAATGTGGGTTCGCGTGCTTTCATACTAATTTATCATTATTAGACTACAGATTTTGTGTACTTGTAGAAAATAGATATAAAGACGCTGAATGCATGTGCGGTGCTCAAACGACAGAATATCTGAAGTACAGTTTTTCAATTGATTCGTATGAAAATCCGCAAGCATATCATTGTCATCTAATGTAACAAGATCGTAGATAGAGATTATTTACTCACTCGGCTTAAAAGTGTCGCCATCCCAAGTCTCGAGGCCTCTACGAATCTGGAAATAAACAAAACAGAACTGATCAAACACGACGCCCAAAGTATGAGAGAAACGGGGAAAGTTGCAAGGAATTATACGTAATAGACAGAGTACAATTGATTGAAGAATGTATTGAATGCAGAGGAAATATGTAAATGCTCTTAAAAGTAGCCTAAAGGATCTCTGCTACTAATCCGTTACAATTGGTGAAGATCTGAGTTCAGCGAGTATCAACGATACGTTAATGGTTGATTCGTAGCGGGGCCGTAAAATCGAGAGAAAGTTGCGTAAATAAAAACGGAGACAGGTGGTGGCCGGCGGGTCCGTATATTAGCATTTCTTTAAACAAACCCGGTCGCCGCGCGACCGAAATGATAAAAATATTTATCGGACTTCTTTCGGATCATGCTGCGCCGCGCGCCGATTATCGACGACGGGCTCGGTTAATTGCCTTCCAGCTACGAATACGTATCTATCACGGACACCGTGTAATCATAATAAAATTGCTCGCCTCTGTACCTACGATACCAAGCGCAGGTTACCCGCTAACGAGCAATTTGTTGAGGTTTAATTGCCGCGTTTTGCGTTGACCAATCGTCCAACCGAGGCGATCCGATTCTATATCCCGTGTTCTACTAACGATTTTAGGAAGCGCACGTGCGCCGCGGCGAACGAATGGAACGTGGAAAATGAACGAGGGAGAAAAAGTCTCAGGGTCGTCAACCTTGTTTCTTATCCGTACCTTAAAAAGCCGACCTAGAATTATGACTGAGTCATAAACCTACGCGGTATATCTCATCCGATGGGACAAGTTACCAACGCGTGGGCGTTCATGATTATTTCACCTCTTACAAATGTCCCACGATCAATCTACCGAAAAGCTTCGAGGCCTCTCCTGACGGATCTCTCGAGTACAGGACGTGTAGATAAACCAGTGTCCACCTCTGTTTTCAGAATTCTATTATACATATGATCGATCAATTATTAAGGGGCCTCACCAGTGTGAAACTTTAAAAGAATCGAAATTTTTCTTGCACTTTTCGGAAGTTCATACCTTTAAAAATATCATAATAAAATAAAAGAAGTATTATAATTTATATACGAAGACCACTTTCATTGAACACAGGATTTATACGAAGAAGATGAAGAGGGATTCGAAATCAGTACGTATCGATGGAAGATAACGATTCTTCGATATTATTCTTTGGAATTGACTGAAGGGTGCTCGGTCAGCGAGATGAGGCGAGTAAATTGAAAAAAGGGACGCGTATAGAGAGAGAGGGGCACGGGGCGACATTGCATTGTCACGTCGCGGCGTGTCGATGCGTTTCTTATTGTCAGATAGCATCTAAGCGCACATGGTGCATGCGGCCATGCATTTATGCATCGCATTATGTACGCGCCAAGGCGAAGCCAAGCGTACATACGCCGTGATCCATTCGTTCCCCCAGCGAAGACCCAATCCTAGATTAATTATGAATTATTCATATTCATGAGACGCGCCTCCTAGACCGTCCGACGAAGTTTATAAATCGGTTTTACAAGAAAGAATGTAGCCACAACCTTCTCATTAAACCTCCCATCGGCTTTATTCCCCGTCCCGAGCTACTGGGCTGAATATTGCTTACACCATCATCCAGAAGTTTTATACTCCTTCGCTGTACTCCAAGAAATTGTCCATAATGTATTTTAATTAATTAATTTAATTTAAAGTGTCCAATACACTTTTTTCAGAAATCTTTAATATCACTGCTCGTGGGACAGCGATAGAAAATCGCGATCACCGATTACACAGGATATTACGGAATCCAGCGTGTCCAATTTTTCTCTCCTCCTCTTCGCGTAGGAGGCGGTTTTAATTACACACCACGACAGCAATCATCCCTTGAATCTCACGCATCCATCTCAGTACGCTCGGAGCGTTTGAGAGAAGAAAAAAAAAAACAGTTCAGAATGTTATTAGGGCGTGTGGGCGTCTTCAGCCACCTATTATTATTTTATAGTCTCTCTACTATAAAGATCCCTCGCGAGATCGAAGATCGATAAACGAAGATGCACCTGCGTCGGGATACCCCCTGACACGGTGAACGACGACGTCGATAAGTTTTCCATGTTCCATTTATGCAAATGATGGTTTTCCAACTCCGTGATCCAATTTCGCCATAAATAATTGCAAGGTGCGCGTTATTAAACCGATAAACAACTCTTTTTATTAATACCCGACGACGAGAGTAAGAGGATTTATAATTGGGTTACCGGGGAATTTTTAGCCCGGCCATGATTGCCACTTTTATCACCTGATATTGAGACGCAATATCTTACACCGTCGCAGCACCTTCACTCTCTCCCTCTCCTTCTCTCTCTGTTTCTCCTTTTTTCAGTTTGATCAGCTTGTACTCTAATCAACGGAGCGCGGCTTCTTTACGACTACGCTCTACGCGTTTATCGTCCCGTCCTAGCGAAAGTGTAAAGAAAATAATCTTTACGGCAGTCCTAATTTCGAAACGTCTTACTAGAATCTCGTTATCTATGCGCCACACACGTGTTATCAGCTTCTAAGATTCATTTATTGACACCGTACCAGCTAAACGACTTTAAGGAACAACCGCGTACAATTAATTCTCGTTTCTTTGCTTTCTCGAGCATTCGTGTTACACACTTACAGTGACGCTTGTTGACACTGCTCCCCGCGTCGAGGGGAGACACGTAAAGAATACTTCCGGTACCAGCGCATGAATCGGCGACCAGGGGCGTAGGACCACGTGGGTCGCGCGTAAATCTCTCCCGTCCGAGGTAACGACGCGACCATTCGCTAACGAGGAGGTTGCGCGTGTGCGTACGGAGAAAGTAGATTCTCGATTGAAAAAACTCTCTTTCTCTTTCTTCTCGCGCCGGTACATGTCGAACACCGGTTACCCGAGCCGCGTTTATTATCTTTGATGAGCCTCCTCGATCATCGTTTCACCGTCGTAAAGAAGCCGAGCTACCGCGACGAATCGAATCGAACGGACCACCGAACGCGCTTCGAATTTCAAGGACTCTCACGACGTATAATGCGATATTGATAAAATTTATCACGAGTCGATCCCGATCACAGCTTGCTCGGCCCTTGAGTCGATCAACCGCCACGTACGAGCGCGATTTCACGGTTGCGCAAGTCGCACGTTTAGCAGGAGTTAACGACAAGACGCGTTAACGAAGGTATTCTTCCGTCGGACGTAACACATTTCGCGATTCATCTGGCTACCGAAACCTTCGGGCGAGGACAACTCGGCGAACCACGAAACGCACTTTCTCCCGTCCGGGATAAGAGCGCGCCTCGCGGTTCTGGAAAGATCGGACCACCTTTGATCGATCACCTGCCCTCGCCGGGCGACCCTCGTAAACCCTACGACGAATCGCCAGTAGAAAAAAATAACATCGTAAAAAAGAACGAGTTCCATTTCTAAAACAGCGACTGCGTTCTTGTAAGCTTTCAAAAGAACTTATCAATCTGTAGAAGGGAAAATAGTATGATAAAAAGTAACACAGTTGTACCTATTTAAAACGGCGATTGTACGGTGACAGTGACAAATTCGCTAATTTAAACGATTAAGCTCGATAGTGGATTCTATTGAATTCGCTGGGACCCGAAGGATCTACCGCGAGGCGAGAAGGAATTAGAAATTGATAGCGAAAACTGGTCCCATTAGCGATGCAGGCGAAACGATTGAACATCCGGATTCGGGTATTTATCATCAAGTGTTATTCTCTCAACGCCCCCGAGAAGATACGAATGTCGCTAAAAGGGAACTCCCAAGCTGATTAACAAAATGCAGATTCTACGCACTTGTAGGAGGATTAAATTTCAAGATATGAAGAAAGCATAATACGTAATATACAATAACATCAAAAGTAAAATGTACAATCTGAATTCAGATTAAAAGATTGCAGCTTGATATTAAGATGCACTTACAGGAAAACTGAAGATAACGCAATGAAAAAACTCGCAAAAACGAGCAAACTCAATCCAGATATTGTATACTCCAACTGATACCATACAATTTTTATCTTGTACCGGTGTTGCTTCACATTGAAAGGCTTGTCAAGCGTGTTACACATAATTCGCGTATGGAATTACATTGTCGAGAGGATAGGACGTAGATGAAGAGAGGCAGAAATCGCTGGTATTAAACTTGCCAGGTCCGTACGACGTGATGAATACACACGCGGTCCGGCCGGCTGGACTGGCTGGCTGGCTTGCAATTTTGTACGAAGGAACCAAGAAATTAATAGTAGACGCGTTCTTTCCCTTCGCGTTGCAAATTGACCGAGAGTTACTTCCTCTCGCAACGTGAGAAACTTTCTTCCAGTCTGTACCCTTCTCGCGCTCGGCCATATTGTACTATTAATTATACGTATTCGAGGAAAAATACGGGAATCGTTCATTTAACAATCTACTCTATGCGTAAATAAATTCATTACTGTTTAGAATATTCTAAAGGATTTCGATCAGATGTCTGAATCTCACAAGTTAAAACGACATACTTTAACTGATATTTAATCAAAATAAAAATTTATACATTTTTAATGAGGAATTGCAATTCGGAAGAGAGTGGAAAATAATTGGGAGTCGGACGACTTCGGGCAAAAATTAAACAAGAACACGTCCGGTCTAGCGATTGTTAAAAAAAAAAAAAATAAGACCCTTCCCGATGAAATCGAAACCATTCCGGGCGATCCGGTATCTACTTTCCCGACAAAATGCCACGCCGATCATCCACTTTCCTGCGGCACGTTCGCCCCCCTCTTTTTTTTCTCCCTCGTTAAACCGTGCTTGGACACATCTCGCTGCTCTACTTTCTACTCGTTCGTCTCCCTTTTTTTCCCCCCCTCGCGAAATCGAAAAGAGAGGGGGCGATCGAATCGACGGACGACGTCCTAATGCGAATAAAATTACGTTCCGCGAGGGGGCTCGTTCGCCATTACTGACCACTCCATTCACCGAGTGGCGGTGATCAAGGTGACGAAGGGGGACCCGGCTGAAAGCGTCGGTACCCGAGAACTCTTTGATCTCTCTGCGATAATGTACGCGCTGTCGGATGATCGCACGCCACTTAATTAATTTTCCAGCCATTCTCCTCTTTTCCATACGAACCGGAATGCGCGACTATCTTAATGCCCCATCCTTCGAACTTTATACCGAGATATCCCCCTCGACAATTGCTTATCTACTCTCTTCCGATTACAACGATCACCGGTGTAATTAGCATCCATAACTATTAAATTGGATCGTGAACGTCCGGTTTGTTAGCAGAACTCGGCAAGCTGGGAGACTGTTACTCTCGTTACAAGCGATAAACGTAAGTAAGGCCCTGATTACCCATTCTTAACCGGAGAATCTAAATGCTTCATTTCATCTGGTCATTGTGCAATCGAGGTGAACGCGAGTAGCAATCGCGAGCAAAGCTGAAGCTTAGAGAGAGAAGGACTCGGAGTGACGCAAAACCTCGACCGAAGGTTAATTAGTGAAAACGCTTCGAATCGCAGGCGGTTTCTGAAGCGGAGCACGAGCAACGCTTCCCTGTAAACCCTTTTTATTCCGGCTGGTTGTCGCGCGGTCTCCTCTGCCGCGGAGCAATTTCACTTTGGAAGCACCTCGGGGCCAGGGCAATTAGAAGCAATCGCGCACCTGGAAGGCGAGGGAGACCTCTTCCTCTGTTTTTCTCCCTTTCAAACAAGGAGAGACGCGTATTCGAGAAAGAATCACCTTCGCTTCCTCCTATTACGTCTGGCAAAAACCTTTTATGTAATAAACTGACAGACGGATGAATCGCACAAAATTTGAATGCACCTGCGAAGAACTATATAAAACTATAAACTCTATTCCTATTTTTACTTCTTTCAAGGAGAGGGTCAGGGTGACAGGAAACGAATTTTCTTGAAAGTTGCAAAATTTGTACATTTCGACCCCAAACTCAATCTGTAGTAATAGCGCGCACATTAAGATGATCAAAAACTTTTTTCCAGTGTTCTCTGTTTCACTCAAAGGATTTTCCTTCTGTTCGTTTCGCCGTTGTTCACCTCTTCCTCGAAACTGGTAGAATTTCGAGGAGAAATTCTTTCTTCATACCTTTCTCCGGTTCTCTTTTTCGTTCTACGCCCGTACGTCCGTAAATTACGTTTTTATCCGAAGCAACGCGGTCATAGCAGTTGAACGGAGCGCACCTGCGCTCGTAATGGGAATGCGACAACTCGAACCAACGCCCTGCCTCTCCTGTCTCTAACACCCCGCTATTTATTTTCCAACCCTGTCCGAAAACATAGTCAAAGAGTACTACATAAATCCAATGCCAGGTATTCCAACGTTCGACCCTTGCGTCTACTCTCTTTGAGATTTTACTTACGGAAGAGTACGACGAGTTAATTAGTCTCGGCTCGAAACGTGAATATATTATTGCAACAAGAAAGTTGAGATTTATTTGACGCGTCGAAGAAGGCTGCGGTAATAAATGCCGAGCCAAGTTCATATTTGGTTACATCGTAGCAATCGTCGTTACCCGAGGGTAATATACATAGTATTCGTGCGGAGCCCGTTTTTGCCGGGACGCGAGAATGTGAAAGCGTCATCGCGAACCGGTGATTTCCCGTGGACCGCGATGAGTCTCCTGCGTCTCATTTGAGAAAAGTGAGAGTGGGTTAAATGAATTTTCTGGCCACGCTACTCTCTCAATCCCCCTTCCTTCCCCTCCCCCTCTGTTATAAATGCAGTCTAATCGTTGTATCAAAAATTCTATCAAACGTTATATTAAGTTTTATCGCGACGTTCAAAGCCGGGGGCGTATGCAAATACGATTGGAAAAAGTGACGATATACTTAATTAATATTCGCCCCAGAGAGATCGGCGATTATAATATTCGTCGTTGAGATTTATCAGGAACGAAGCTCGGAGCGCGGTATTTGCATGCTTTTTGCGCTATTGGTACTCGCGTTATTGATGACCATCAAAGTACCCCGCGCGGAATAAAGAAGGTAGGCGTGTTTCCTGCGAGAGCCTCGGATCTCTCTCAGTTCTCTCGCGAAGAGCCGAGGCTTTTTCATTTTACGAGGCTGTTGCATACCCGCGCTCGTTGCAGCCCGGCGCGCGTCTTGTAAAAGTCAATATTTATGAGGGTGCTAACCACCGTCATCGTTCATCCCGACTCGTTAACCAGCTTCGCCGGCGCAGCTTTGTGTTTACATCCCGAAGGACACCCATCCTATCTTCTCTTTATTGTCAGCCCTAAGAAAACACGTTCATCGGGCCTCGGGCACGATCCCCTTATCACCGATATTCCCCACGCTGTTTTCAGTCAAAACACCGCGCGAGCGAACCGCGAGCACTAACCTAACTTGAGCCATGTGCAAATCTTACCTTCTGGCCATTCTCCCTCATTGTTTACGTTGTCGAAGTTAATTCGAGAAAGCCGGCTAACAGGACACTGTCCAACGAGGTTCTCAATGGCCGAGAGAGCATAAGGTCCGAACACGAGCACTGCGCGGATTCACAAGTTTCGACAGGTGACACGATTTAGGAACGCGACAACTTTATCTGGGATGTTCGCGCGGGCACATCTGGAATTCCGTTTCGCAAAAGGTTACGCGATGCCCGAACGAGTTAAATCGGAATTGCGACACGCGCGAGAGAAAGGCAACGTGACGAAGTAACAGGTGCCGAACGAACTTGAACGCGTGCTCGGATTCGAGTGCCGCCATCTCGCCACAAAGGCTCTCAATCAGACAGTCGTCGATAAGAAGATACCTACTGTCTTCTGTTCGACGATTCGACTACGTAACTTCACATGAACTTTGAACCCTAGATCGTTTATCGTATTCGAACATTGAAAGTACCTGCTGTTCAAACGCGATTTTCATTCATTTACCTCTAAATTCGATCTAATGATCTTCAATCAATTACTCCTCATTTTACTCTTCCCCAATTTGATAGATTGCTTAAAACTCGACTCACCCTCTGGCAGTGTTCCAAAGTGACCACCGAGAGGTCCGCGAGCGGTTGAAAGATGTCATCGTGAAATTCGGGGTAGTTCCTCGCCAGTGGCCTCGCATACAATTCTTTCGCGCTGCAGAGGGTTTCGTGGTACTCTTCCTCTGCATGCAGCAGCTTCTCCGTGGCTCTGTATCTCCTATCCGTGTCTGTAGGAATAGAACCACGAATTTTACCGAAGTCTATTATTTCTTTTTTAATGAATTTCTGGTCATGAATGAAAACTCACCTCCTTTTGGATCGTACTGTCTCGCGGAGTCCTCGATCAGCAGTATCTCCCCGTGAAAGAGCCCCACATCGGCAGCGGGATCTACTTCTGCTCTAGAACCAGCGAGCAACAATCTAGGCTTGCATACTCGGTATTTCAATACCACCGTGGAGACCACGGCTGAAATTGGCCCAGGAGACACGCCAGGCAACTGGAAATATAAATAATTCCTACTTCTAACTATGTTCCCCGAATTTTTATGTAAATAAAGCATTTATGAATTGCAAAATGTGATTTTTTTTTAAGTACATTGCATGTTGTTTTTGATAGTTCATGAATGCATGAAATAAAACTGCTCCATTTCTGTGTCCTCGAGGCAAAAGCATGCGAAACATCCTAATTATTAGGGAAAGGCGCAGCAGATCGTAAAAAGTAAACCTTGGGACGAGGTCAGGATCGAAACAGTCTCAATTTGTCGAATTCTTTCCTGATGCTTAGATCACGAAATGATTCGACATGATATCTGTGTCTCAAACAGATAATACAGTATGGATGATGGTCAATAAATAAAGAAAGAAAAGAATAAAAGAAATTCTTATCTAGATTGAATTTTTTAAACCGACATTACGAACGCTTTGCATAAAAGTCCACAGCGCAATGATTACGTTTTCATGCGCTGCACGGTTCGTTTGATCCACGCCTTCGACGAATTCCAGCAACAGGTTTAATCGAGGTTTAATCGAGCGAGAGCATTGAATCTCGGATGAAAATTGTAACTTGTTTCGCGCTTAACCCGCGACCTCGCGGGTAACTCTACGCGCCGTGGCAATTATCGCCGAGCACAGTATGTAACGGGCCGAACAATGCAATTTAATCTCATTTTACGACGATAGCCCCGGCTGGCTTACACACGGACATCGTGCGCCGATCCTCCTAATCGCTGTTCTCGGAACGCCTCCCAACCACCAACTAGATCAGGGGTATGCAAACCCTCTGATAGCAGTACTCGTAAACCTCACCGCTTGCATAATGAAGAATTAAGGATTATTTAATTCCCCCTTTTACCATCGTCATTTCTGTATTTGTATCAAAGCAAAATTGTAATAATCAAACAGGAGATTTTCATGCAAAATGAAACACAACGTGCATTTCACTTCTGACCTTCTATCAGGTACCGGAAATATGTGGTTTTTTCATTAGAAAATTAGAAGAATGCTGATATCAAAAGGGCGATTACTTCATTTTCCAAAAACAAAATTCTGAAGTAAATGACGACAATTCCGTTAAATAAAAGCATGTTTTAAAAAACATGTATGTGTTTAAATATTGATCTAAAAATCCACGCGAAGTTATTCTGGTACATAATATAGTTTACGTCTAGATACGATATAATTATCATAAACTCGTGTTACGACTCTAATTACATAGGATACGTTTGAACTTAGAAATAATGGATGCTTGAGGATCAAGAGGATCAATTGATCTCGAGATGTACGATAAGATCAGTTCTTAAGAATCCGGTAGTGTGCTCGTTCCACCTGTACCGTTAATCATAATCGAAAATCTTTTTTCCTGGCGTACGCCCCATTCAGGAATTCGGTACATTTGTTCTACGTCCCATTTGCGCATTCCCCGCTTCCAGGGTACTTACTTACTTCAACCGAGAACCGCATTCTCGCCGATTATCGAATAGAGCGACGTCACACGTCTCTTATTGCGTGAACCGTTAGGAAATTCCAAAAGGCTCGAAGGATGATGGGCGCACGGGATAAGGATTCAGTTTCTTCGATAGCAGTTAGTATTATTCTCAATCTCTTCTTCATAGCGTTATTACCACGTTCCTGCTACTACATTATCGCGTTTCTTTAGAAAGGATATAAACAAGCAACATCCTTAGAAAACTATGATTGATCTCGGATTCTCATTTGCGATGAGCAGATACCGAGAACTTCGAACCCATTTACATCGTAACAGACGTAAACACTATTATACAAGTTGATACAATATTTCATGCAACGTTTCGTATAATAGTCGACGCAACAACTGACACAGTAATTGATACAGCGTTACGTGTAATGATCGATACAATATTTTATACTGAATTATTAATAGCGAACGCGTATTGCAATGAAATTTAAATGTGAAATGGATTTTTCAATTGATCGCCATTAACGTATCATAAAAATCCTCTATTGCCAATTGCCATAATAGTGTTATATAAAATCGATATTTGGTGATTCGTTGAAGTAAAAAATTTTTTCGCGGTGGATATATTCTCGAGGGGACGAACTCTCGCTCTTAATAAACCGAAACCGGAATCGTAAAGCTGAATCTAAATTGCATAATTATACCGGTCCGATGTCTCTCCCTCCCATTCATCCCGTTCGATCGCGAAGGACTCGCGAGTCCTTCCACTCGATTCCTTCGTTTTCGTCGCCCTCCGCCACCCCCGCCGCGCGTAAACCGGCGTGTTCCGCGGCCTTTCTCTCTTTGCCGAGGTGAAACACCGCTGCACCCGAGCAAGATTATAAATTGGCGCGAAATACGAGTACACAGCGAGCATCCTCGCTGCGAACACCCTTTAAACCGGCCTTATTCGGACAAAACCAGACGCTTTACAACCGCCGCTCGCTCGCCTTAATATTGTAATTAAACATTTGGTACGAACCAGATACACGCGATCCCACTTTATGGATGATAATATTAACTTACCTACACACTTGCACCGTTCCCTCGTTTAATAAACCGTTGCATCATTCGATATAAATCACACGTAACAAATCATTATTCTCGTATTTCATTACGAGAGGCTGCACATGAATTTTCTATTCGACGGACCCCATCGAATAGTACTTCTGCGTTTCAGTAAATCTCTAAATAAAATTAATAAGTTTTATGATTTTAAATGATAGTTCTTGTTGACTCATTCCGTATATCAATCACACGTGATACCATACATATAAGTGGATACAGAACTTTAGGCTAACGATCGAGCGTTGCTCTTTTTAATGTATCACTCGGCGGACAGGAACGAAATTACAAGTCGAGAAGGTTCGACTATCGCTGTCTCTTTTCACGGTTCACGACCGGTATTCGAGAGAAACACGACCGACGAACGCTTGCTCGCACCGTCGCGAATCATCGCGCGCCCCTGTCGACCGGAAATTGCCTCTAATTGCCTCGCAAACTTTCATTCTTCGCGTTGAGTATGCGTGATTTCTTACCCCCCCTCGTACAACCTCTGTATATTTTCATTAAATCCCTTTCCATTAACCTTAATCGGATTCCGCTTTATCATACGTGGTTACGTAGAACGAGCACCGTTTAAACAAACCAAACTCCTATTTGTCATCTTCTGCACTACCAAATGTAAGCCACTTAAAACTGCTATGTTAACGCCATGTAAAATGTTTACTAAAAATGAAGTAATTTTCACTTTTTTGGACTCAGTTCAGATTCAGCAAATGATTCATTCTATTATATTATATCAATTACTATATCAATCATTATGTCAATTAATGTATGAAATTTTTTTTATGAACCGCTAAGCACGTTTAGCTCCAGTTTTCTTTGCAACAATTGATGCGTTTACAGGCAGCATCCTGTCCCTCCCAGGCTCATTACGGGACAATGAGCGTCGTTACATCGATCACAAGCCGGGTCATTCTTTTCCAAGGCGGAAGAGAGCAGCCTGGTAGACGATGCAACGGCGTCGATTAATTTCCAACCCTCGCAACTGCGAACTTGAGACGAAGGGGCCATTAATCACCCTGCCGATTACCAGCTTCAAGCTCGATTAAAGTTTCCGCGATACGCTTTTCTTTTCTGTCCGCGCGCGAACCGAGCGTGACGTAAGCCTCCTCTCGTTTTCGCATCGGTTGCGTCACGGGTAACCAGAGATAATCCCGTTCGCAACCAACAATTCGTTATCCAACTTCCACGGTTTGATGTACAATCAAATTGTTTCATGTTACCGAGTGATTAGGGTTCACAGGAGCCGTGACAAATATTCCACATTGACGATCGTGTTACACAATTTTAATTAAAGAATTATAGCGAATCATTCATTTCATCTTATAATTAAAGGGCCTTACCAGTGTGAAATTAAAAAAAATCGAATTTCTACCTTACTGTATGATGTCAGCAATTGAGGCACTTTTTTGGCGTCTCGGGAGATAACTTGGTCGCCTTTAGTTATTTTTGTACGAAAAAATTATTTTACACAATTTATTTATAGACAAATACATACATAAAGTTTAAAAAAATTCCATAGAATACTTTTCTTAAAAAAAATTCCTAAAAATGACCTAAATTTTTGGCGGTCACACTGGTAAGGCCCCTTAATCTTGTAACAAGCCAAGGACAGTTTCAATAAAATTGTATATCTTTCGCAAATGGAACACTGTATCAAATATTACATAATTTGGCGTATGAATTAATAAATGAAATATGTGAATTGTATGAACGTTATTTCAATTATTAAAATAAAACGATACAAATAATTTTATCACATAATGTTCAGCTAATCCCGTTTGTTTTTACAAGAGTTAAATGATGTAGCGTCGTTCCGTCTGGCTGGTCGTAAGATGTTTTTCGAGGCACGAGGCCAATTTTTGCCAATTCGAAGAATTACATCATTGGTCAATTATTCGATTAGGGTCTCGAATTAGAAGAAAGTGACCGGTGCGCGTGTCAGCCGTTATTTAAGACCGTCACGCTGTCAAATTGGCCGGGACAAATTGTTTCAATAAGTAATCCCGAACAGAGAAAGGGTTGGAGATCGACACGCTCGATATTGGCAATTAAAGTCAGTTTATCGTATCGCAATTTGTCTCGGCAAGTGCATCGAACACGTGCGCTTGCCAAAACGTCGTTACCCAATAACTGGCTGCCAATAATGGATTGGAAGGTATGATTGTCATGCGACCGGGGGAACGAAGGCCGTTCCAAGTAAGTATATATAGCTCACGCCTATATCCTACGAACAGGAATGTACCAACGCGTAAAGAGAGATACGATTGCTTCGATAAAATCGTCTAATCTTAAGAAACTGCGTATCAATAATGACTTATTAAATAGAAGAGTTGAAAGTTTTGTACAGAGCGGAAAAGGCTGAACGGGCTTCGCCCAGGAGCCTTCCGTCTCCAGTCCTGTCCAGTACAGAGAAACGGTTTAAATAAATAAATAAATTATTAAATAGGGACAATCGTT